ACAGGAATGTTCCGGGGGTGGGAGCAGGGGAAACGAAGCCAAGAAGTGGTAATTTCCCAAGATGCATGGGAAATGCTATTTGTGTGTGTCGGGTCCACCCCACTCACGTGCTATCCTTGTAGTAAGAGATAAGCTATTAAATTATACCTGAGCTCCCTAGCAGCAAGTAGCAAAAGTTCCTAATTATTATTATGCCCTTACAATCTACTTATTTGCATTTGCTTTTATTTATTTGTTTATTTATTTTGGTTTTTCGAGGCAGGGTTTCTCTGTGGCTTTGGAGGCTGTCCTGGAACTAGCTCTTGTAGACCAGGTTGGTCTCGAACTCACAGAGATCCACCTGCCTCTGCCTCCCGAGTGCTGGGATTAAAGGCTTGCGCCCGGCTGAATTTGCTTTCAGAGTGAATGCTTCTTCCCACTTGTAGACCTTCCTCCTGCAGCTATGCCCTGTTGACTTGCTTGAGTCATGGTCTCACTGTGTAGTCCTGGTTGGTTCCAAATTTGCCATTCTCTCATACCACTTTCCCTGGTACCAGGATTCTAGGCATGAGCCACCAACCCTGACTTTCTGCTCAGTAATTTTTATGCCCAGCCGCTCAGGCCTGCTTTACCTGTGGTGCCCAGGGGCTTGCTGGTTATGCATACTTTAGACCTTAGGTGGGACAGGTGTTTTCTTCTGAGTCTCACCTATACATGACATTGATGTTTCAGGCTTGTCACCTGGAGAGAGTGTACTCCAGGTTGTGCTTGCTGAGAGTTCCTGGAGAAGATGAGTGCTTAGATATGCCTCCAGCTGTGTAAATAAGGATAGCATCAAGACCGGTATGGGGCTGGAGGTATAACCTGGTAGTGGAGCATTTGCTTAGCATGAGGAGTGCCCTGAGTTTGAGTCCCACATTGTAAACACTCACTAGCCAAAGAGTTCTCTCTCTCCCTTCTTTGTTGCATAATATGAATTTAAGGTTTGGGGCTGCAACAGAGTGCCCCCTGGACAATGAATGACATTGAACAGCACAAACATTGTCTCTTTAAAATTTTTTTATTTCATTTTCTTTCTCTGTGTGGGAGGTATGTATGTACCATGGCATGTGTGTGGAGGTCAGACAACAATTTTGGGGGACAGTCCTCTGCTTCCTGAAATCAGGTTTGGCACCTTTACCCACTGACTCACCTCACCAGCCCTAGGACTGGGCTCTGTCTTAGTCTGTCCAGCGTGTGAAACCCAAGCACTTCTGACCCAGAGCACTCCAGACTGTGACTGTCCCACATACCTAGGGACACATGTGGAGCCTGAAGTGTTTAACAGTGTAATGAGGATGTGTGGGACCAGCATGTGTGTGGAATTGATGTATCTTCAGGAGCCACCCTCTCCTTGTCCATGGCAGACATCACCAATCGATGACTCTTCTCTGACCCTGAACAGCTTCGGCCACATCACTGATTAGATGATTTCTCAGGCATATTTAGCTCCAGTAGTTACAAGCAGTGGAGTGGGCAGAGCCAGGGGAAAACCAGGCAGGCCATTGTCTTCCTTCGAATAGACATGAGCTCAGGTTTCGAGGTTAAAATTGCATGAAGCCTGTTCCAGGCTGACCATTATTTATTTATTTTTTATTTTTTGCAGAGTACTAGGAAGGGGCAGCTGTTGGTATGAGGGACACTCCATGCAGCTGTATGTAATATAGCTCTACAGGGTATCTTTTCCATGGTGGAAGTCACCATGTGAGAACCTAGGTTGGTAGTTTCATAATTTGAAAATGATCCTTACACACACACATACACACCATCCTCCCTTTTGAGAGGGGCTTCTCATGGCTCAGGCTGGTTTTGAACTTGATCTTCCTGCCTCAGCAGGATTGCAGGCATATGTCAGCAGGCTCAGCTGTGACAGACTTGTAAATTATCACTCTCAAATGTTTCTTGTTTGAGAGTGGCTAGCATTAGCTAACTCTACCTTGCAGACACTGGCCTGTATGTCATCGTCCCCTCTCCCCTCCCAGCCTTTCCTGGCTTGAAAACTTTATAGAAGTAGTATGACCAGGATGGACAGAGACTCAGGACTTCTTGTGGACCAGTCCAACTTTAGTCTTTTGAAAGGAAACTTTTCCTGTCACAGGAGGGACCCAGCTAGACACTCATGGCAAGGTCACCAAGAAGCAGGTGGCATTCCTTTTTTTTTTTTAAAGATTATTTTTTATTTATTATGTATACAATGTTCTGCCTGCATGTATGCCTGCAGGTCGGAAGAGGGCACCAGATCTCATTATAGATGGTTGTGAGCCACCATGTGGTTGCTGGGAATTGAACTTGGGACCTGTGGAAAAGCTCTTAATATCTGAGCCATCTCTTCAGCCACACACCCCCCCCTTTAAAATTTTTTTGAGTCAGGGTTTCTCTGTGTAACAGTTCTGGCTATCCTGGGACTTACTCTGAAGATCAAGCTGACCTCGAACTCCCAGAGATCTACCTGCCTCTGCCTCCCCAGTGCTGGGATTAAAGGCGAGCACAACCACTGCCTGGCTTTTTTTTTTTTTAATAACGATTTTATTGAGATATAATCTACATACCATAAAAATCTACCCTTGGGTTGGGGATGTAATTCGGTTGGTAGAGTGCCCGTCTAGTGTGAATGAAACCCTGGTCCCAGCTCCTCATAAAACCAAGTGTGGTAGTGGCACATGCCTGTCATCACAGAACTGGGGAAGTGGAAGCAAGAGGATGTGAATTTTATGGTTATTCTTAGCTGTGCAGTGAGTTTAAGGCCAGCTTGAGAACCTGTCTTAAGTATAAGACAAACAAAATAAAAACCGCTCTGTTGGGCCAGTGACATGGCTCAGTGGGCAGAGGAGCTTGCTGTAGAGGTGGATGACATGAGTTCCATCCCTGGGCACCCCCCTTTCTTCCCGCCTACCCCCCATGGTGGAAGGAGAGACCTGACTCCTGAAGGTTGTTCTCTGACCTCAGCTTGTGGGCTGTGATTTGATGCATAGCAACTACCAGTGTTAATTACCTCCAGGACATTTTTATCTGCCCAGCAGATTCTGCCCAAATTTCTGTCCCAGTGGCCTCTCTAGAGTTGGTTGTTGATTGTAGAAAGTGCTGGACTATTACTTCTCAGTAAAAATGGACTGCATTTGTTTGTTACCTACCAACTAACCCCCTGATCAGCCGTGGTTTGCCCATTCGTTTTGAGCAGGCATTGAAATCCTCCACAGAAGGCCGGCAACTCCCAGTGCCACTCAGTTCTGACTCAGATGGTTTGGGGGAGCTGACAATTGTCTTTCTGACTAAGCTGTCACTTCTGGTCCAAGCATTTTCTCATTTTCTCCTACCTCCTCCCCATGTTTCCTTGAGTCAGGGTCTCACTATGTAGCCCACACTAGTGTCCGACTCTTGATTTCCTGCCTGAGTGTTGGAACCCCACAGTCACCACAGCTGGCTTTGATGTGGGCATTTGAATTTGCTGTTCTCTGTGCCTGGGACTCTGGCTCCTTCTGAATCCATCTCATGCCTACTTGTCCATCAGCTCCTGCTTTGCTTCCTGAAGGAAGTCTTACCTGGCACATCCCCAGCTGCCTTGGGAGCCCTGTCCTTCACGTCTATCCTCCTTGACCGTTTTGTGTCTGTTTTCCCACTAGCCTATGAGCTGGATAGTTCTCATTTGTTACCAGCAGATCCACAGAGCCCAGCACAGGACTTCCTTCCCAGTGTTGCACAGTGTTTGTTGTCAACCCATTTCTGCATGGAACAGCCCAAAGTGATTAACTCCAGGGGGAGGGAGACCAGCAGATCTATCTGCTCCCCACCCCCACCCCATCTGGATGTCTAGGCAACAGGATGGCTACCTAATGCTGTATGATTTTGGACTAACAGATGACCACATGGAGAGAGTGATGCTTTATTGCTCAATACTGCTGGTGTGATTGGATAGGCAGCTTTGCTGATCTTGCCTGGACCCTCACGTGTCAGAATGGTATGCCCAAAGGCTGATGTAGAGCTCTTGCAGCTGGAACCTCTGAGAACCGTGCCTCTGCCACATGTAGGGTTCATACTCGTACTGCAGTTGCAGCTGGAGCTGAGCGTGTCCTCATGGACAGCAGAGGATAAAAAGGGGTTCGTTTGAGGACATGGTGTCCCCCACCTCCATACGGTTTTATTTCTGTTACTGTGATAAAGTACTTGACACTGTCAACTTAAAGGATGGGAAGGGTTTGTTTTGGCTCACAGTTCATGAGGGGTGCAGCTCTTCATGATAGACAAGGCATGGCAGCAGGAGCTTCAGGCCAGCCCCTCTCAGGATGGCCATCCAGAAGCAGAGAGAGAAAACAGGAAGTGTGGCCAGGCTCCATAAACCTCAGAGCCCACCTCCAGTGACTCACTTCCTCTGGCGGAACCTCCTAAAGGTTCTATAGCCTTCCCAAACAGTGCCACTAGCTGGGGATGTGAGCCTATGGGAGACATCTTGCATTCAAACCACAACACCGCAATTGAATACATTTGGTAAAAAGCTGGGGATTAGCCAGGCGGTGGTGGCCCTCGCCTTCAATCCCAGCAGAGGCAGAGGCAGACATATCTCTGTGAGTTTGAGGCCAGCCTGGCCTACAGAGTGAGTTCCAGGACAGGCTGCAAAGCTACACAGAAACCCTGTCTCGGAGAAAGAAAAAAAAAAAATCTGGGGATTTAGCTCAATGTTAGAGTACTTGTAATGTGCTTGGTTTTGGGTTTAATCCCCAACACTTTATAGATTGTGGCATAGCCTATAATCCCAGCATTGGGGACAGACAGAGGTTCAAGGTCTATTCTTGAGTAGTGCTATATAGTGAGTTTAAGGCCAGTCTGGGTTATATGAGATCCTACCTCAAATGCATTTGTGAGAGAGCGCACGCACACACACACCCTCTCGCCTATAATGTGCTATTAAAAAAGAAAGTCCTACTTTTCCCAAAGGGTTGTTACCTGCCATCCTGAAAAGGTGTTAACAGCCTGACCTTTCCTTTCAGACCTAGGTGCTCTGGCTATCGGCGAAGTCCATGAGAATGTTACTCTTCACTGTGGCAACATGTCGGGAGCCAGGGGCCTGGTGACCTGGTACCGGAATGACTCAGAGCTCATCTTCCTGCTCTCCTCCAATTCCAGCCTTCCCCCAGCTTCACCTCGTTTTTCTCTAGAGGATGCAGGTGCCCTGCACGTGGAGGCACTGAGCCTGGAGGATGAAGGCAACTACACCTGCCAGGAGGTTCTGAATGAGACCCACTGGTTCCCTGTATGGCTTCGGGTGGCCAGTAAGTGGGACTAGTAGGGATGGGTTTGGGGAGGTAGTGAGAGCCTGGGGAAGAGGTCACTGTCAGGAGTGTGGGCTTGAGTGACACATTTCAGTGTGGGTAAGTTGGAGGCCAGCCTGGGCTACATAGAGAAACCCTGTCTCAAAACAAAATGCTGGCTAGTGTCCTAGGAACTGCAGCCAAGGTTGTCCTCTGTCCTCTACACACATGCACACACACCTGCAAATAAATACACAAATGTCCCTGAAATTGAATGAGACCTTGTACTCCCTGAATACATCTGATGCAATCATAACTGTGGGAAGTCCTTCACTGGGAAATGTGGGTCTATGGTTGGCACAGTTTCTCCATGAAAACCAGAGGCAGGTGTCCTGAGGCTGATCTACAGCAGAGCCCCCCCTGGGATCTTACCTCTTCTGCCCTCCAGAGGGTCCTGAGCCGCAGACCCCTCCAGACCCTCCTTGCCTGCACCTCAGTTAGCGGCTGTTGAGGAAGGCCATGACTCTGAAGGGACATGGTTTCATTTACTCAGGGAGTTTGAGGGTATTGAGTGTTGCCAGCACTGCATTCCTGGGAGGGCTTGGTGCTGCCTGTTGTCAACAGTAAGTTCTCTAAGGTCCACACACCTGGGCTCAGATCACAAAATCGATGTGCACAGTCTGAAATCTGAAATAACGTGTACCTGAGCCTTTTGGGTGGGAGATACATTGCCCGTGGCACCTCCTGGGTGGAGTAAGAACCCTAGGGGATCGAGAAGGCAGGGTTTAAATGATTTAGACTCAGCCTAGGGCTTAAATGAGGCATGATCTTGGAACACAGAACCACACTGGAGGCTCATTAAGGTCTCTCTTTGATTTTTTATTTTTACTTTTAGTTTACATGGTTTATCAGCCTAGTTTGGTGGTTCACACCTTTAATCACAGCTCTTGGGAGACAAAAGCAAGAGGATCACTGAGTTTGAAGCCAGCCTGGTCTATGTAGTGAGTTCTGGGACAGCCTGGGCTACAAAAGGGTTGGGCTGGCTTGGTGGTGGAGTGCTTGCCTAGTCTCACCGGGAGAGACCCTGTGTCAAAAACCAAAAGATTATGTGTATGCATATATGCCACAAATACATGGATGTCTGTGGCGACCAGAAGAGGACTTCAGATCTGTGGAGCTGAACTTTCAGGCAGTGGTGAGCCTTCCAGCATAGATGATGGAACAGAACCCGGGTCCTTTGCAAAAGTAGCCAGTGTCTCAAACCCCTGAGCTGCCTCTTCACTCTGGCATTTTCTTTAAAAAATTATGTATATATCTATGTATATTTACATTTTTTATTTAATGTGTGTGTGTGCACTCAAATGTACCATGGTGCTCGTGTGGAGATCAGAGGACAACTAGTGGGGGTCACTTCCCTTCCTCCACTTTGTGGGTATGGGAATCAAACTCAGGTTTGACAGGCTTGGTGGCAGCACCTTTACCTGCTTGCTTGCCCTCTTCTAAAAGTTTATTTATTTATGCATGGGGGAGTGGATACATGCCTGCCAGGGATCAGAAGACAGCTCCCGGGACTTCTCTTCCCCTTGGTGGTCAGGGGCTCTCTCATTTGTCCAGCAGCAAGGTGTACCACAGGCTAGCTACCCTTCTCGCTTCCCAGGGGTTCTCTGGTCTCTGCCTCCCATCTCACCACAAGAATGCTTGGAGAGTCACTCTACCATATCTGACTTGCACACAGATTCTGGGAATTGGACTCCCCAAGTTTCAGGTCTGCATGGTTGGTGCCTTTATGTGATGAGCCATCTCCTGCCCTGATTTTCTTCTTTCTAAACCTCTTGCCTGACTCCCACACAATGATTCTCAGTAGCAAATTCTACTTCTTGTTGATTTTTCGGCTCAAAGCCCTTCCCAGCTGCTTTCCGGGGTTCACTGTGTCCAGGCCAGGCCAGGCCACCAGGACCTGGAAGACCAGAGGTATGTGACCTTTGCCAGTCTTGGATGTTGGCCACCAGTACCCCAGTACTCCAACTGAACCGTGTTTAGTTGGAGGAATGCCAATGAAAGACACGCCCTAGGACCTGTTGAGCCACATACCTGACGGACTAGCCAGCAGTGATGAATGGGGTATTCAGGCTCCTCCCAGGCCACCACCTAAGTCTTCCCCAGACCCTTGTGGGTAGGCAATATGGTTCCCAAAGATTCACCTGACAGGGATGTTGTCCTGAGGTGTGGAAGAAAACACATCTGTAATCCCAGCACTTGGGAGGCTGAGGTAGGAAGAGCTTGAGTTCAAGGCTAGCCTTGGCTGCTTAGTGAGGGTCAAAGGAAAGAAGGGTATTTCCACTGAAAGGCTGCATAGGAAAATCTTTGCATCCTACAAATGATATTTTCTCCTCACTGACCTATTGATGAACCAAACTCAGAATTCCTTTGACCTTCCTGGACTGTTTTTTAAGACATCCATCTGAGGAGAGGTGGCACACTGGCTCACGCTAATGTGAGCAGCCATAGGGTGTGCCCCTTAATGTCTTTTAATTGGCAAAGTAATTATATAGATAAGTTTCTTTCCTCCCCTCCCCCATTTTTTAAAAAAAGATTTATTTATTTATTTATTTATTTATTATGTATACAGTGTTCTGCCTGCACTCAAGAAGAGGGCCCCAGATCTCATTACAGGTGGTTGTGAGCCACCATGTGGTTGCTGGGAATTGAACTCAGGACCTCTGGAAGACTAGCCAGTGCTCTTAACCTCTGAGCCATCTCTCCAGCCCTTCCCCTTCCTTTTTAAATCTTGTTTGTTTATTTTTGAGCAGGGTCTCCCTATGTAGCCCTGGCTGGCCTCTCTCTCTCTCTGTCTGTCTTTTTTTTTTTTTTTTTCCAACACAGGGTTTCTCTGTATTGCTTTGGAGCCTGTCCTGGAACTCTCTCTGTAGACCAGGCTGGCCTCGAACTCACAGAGATCTGCCTGCCTCTGCCTCCTGAGGTCTGGGAATGAAGGTCTCCCTCCCTCTATGCTTCTCTTCTCTCCTCTTTGCTCCTCCTCCCCCCTCCTCCTTCCTACCCCATCACATTTGTGGGTCTCCAGCTATGTACATAGGCTAAGCACACACTACACCTCTGAGCTGCTTCTCCAGTAGGGAGATGTGCTCTTTTTACCGAAGGGAACTTGGCATCTTGGATGCACGTGGTACCACAGCGCAGGGCATTTTGGGGGTTGAGAAAATTCAGGTCTGGATGCGGTGTAGTTTTCAGGCCTCACATGTATTTATTTCCAGCACTGAAAACAATACATAAGAAGTTTATAATTTAAGGTGAACTAAGATGAGGCCCAGCATTTGTAGAGTGGTTCTAGGATACCAGGCCCCATTCTGAGTGCTCCATTATATAAACTCTAGCCCTGAGTGGGGGGACACTCCATCACAGAGGAGGAAACTGAGGCTATGCAAGGATGAGTACTTTGCCTGAAGCTGCACAGCTGGAGCTCAGTCAGGCCTGGGGTAATCATTTCCTGTTGGTGTGATGTGTATGTCTAGGGTGGGGGGCTGGAGGGATAGTGGGTGGAGGCAAGACCAACCTCAGGTTCATGGATACTTTAGGACAACCCCCCAGCATCTCAGCATGTCCAGTGGTTAGAGAGAAACCAGCCACACTGAAGAAAAGGACTCTAAGGGCCAGCACATTTGAGAAGGAAGTTCCAGTGCTTCCTGTGGGCTCTGATCTGCCCACACCTATGAGAATTCCAGGTTCTCTGAGGGGAAATCCAATATTCCCTAAACCACTAAATGTGCTAGGCTGGGACCCAGAGAACCATGGTGACAGCATTGGGGCGTGGTGGAAACTGTCCTGATATATATGTTAAGTCCTTCCAGGGCCTTAGTAGGAGAGCAGTCGAAGGCCCAATGTGTTCTTTTTTTTTTTCCCCCTTTCTCCTTGGTAGGGACTTTATGTGTAGGGTGCTTTGTCCTCAGGTATGTCTGTACATTGTGTGTGTGCCTGATGCCTGTGGAGGCCAGAAAGGTTGTCTGTCAAAACCCCTGAAACTGAACTTAAGGATGATTGTGAGTTGCCATGCGGGTGCTGGGAATAGAACCTGGGTCCTCTGCAAGAGCAGTCAGTGCTCTTAACCACTAGCCCCTTGGCAGGAGTTTTGTTTTTTAAATTCAGTGTTATAAATTTATTTTTAATTTATTTTATGTGTATGGGTATTTTGCCTGTGGAGGTCAGAAGGGTGCCGGATCTCCTGGAACTGGAGTTACAGACAGTTAAATGAACCACCATGTGGGTGGCTGGGAATCCAGCCCAGGCCCTCTGGAAGGGAAGCCAGTACTCTTAACTGTTGAATTGAACTATGTGTCTAGTCCCTTTTTTGGGGGGGCTTATTTTATTGAGACAGGGTCTCACTATGTACTGCTGGCTATCTTAGAACTCTCTGTGTAGACAAGACTGGCTTCGAACTCATAGGTTGTATCTGCCTCCTGATTGGTGGGATTAAAAGTATGTAATGATATGTCTGGCAAGATCAATTTTTAATTTTGTGTGGGCAAACACATGCAGGTGCCCAGAGGAGACTGTGAATCCTCTGGAGCTGGGGAAAGTCGTAGGAACCTAACTATGGTCCTCTAAAAGAGTGGCAAACTTAACCTGTGAGATGGTCCCCAGCTGCTTGCAATATTTTAATGCCAGCACTGGGCAGTGGAAGCAGGAGGGCTTGGAAGTTCTTCGAGGCAGGACTGGGCATGTTGCTAACTTGGTAGTGTTTGCATCTCGAAACCCTGGCTTTGAAGCCCAGCAGCACATAAACCACGCCTGTGACCACAGCACTTGGGACATGAAGACAGAGGGATCAGAAGCTCAGGGTCATCCCCAGCTACATAGTTTGAGGCCAGCCTGGGCTACATGGGATCCTGTCACAAAAAAAAAAACAAAACAAAGCAAAACACTCAGATGGAAAGTCCTTTAAGGAAATTCTCCCCTATCCGCAATCAACTTTGTACAACTGTCCAAGATCAAATGAGTGGAAGTCTGAGGACACTTTGCACAGCCTTGTAACGTAACGAGTATTGGTAAGCTGTCCTTGTTGTCTGTTTCCATTAGAGCTCTCAAGGAGAATTCTTATTTTTTTTAATTAATTAACTAATTTTTATTTCATATACTATTCTGTTAGCATATACACCTGCAGGCTAGAAGAGGGCACCAGGCCTCATTATAGATGGTTGTGAGCCACCGCGTGGTTGCTGGGAATTGAACTCAGGACCTCTGGCAGAGCAGCCAGTGCTGTTAACCTCTGAGCCATCTCTCCTGCCCTTGAGTAGAATTCTTACCCATCCTCCCCTTGTCATTCCCAGGTGGCCCTGATCAGATTGTGGCTAACATCTCAGCCACTGGCACCCTCTCCAACGGTACCCTGTACACAGCCAAGGGCTCCCAGGTGAACTTCAGCTGCCACAGCATATCATGGCCTCCGCCTGAGGTGGAGTGGTGTATCCAGGCCGACATCCCTGAGTCTTTAGGAAGGAACCTGACGGTCAACAGCTTCGCACTGTTGCAGATGTCACAGAACCTCCAAGGCAACTACACCTGCTTAGCCACCAACGTGCTCAGTGGGAGACAGCGAAAGGTGACCACCGAGCTCCTGGTCTACTGTGCGTAAGCAGCGCTCCCCTCCGTGAACCATGTCTGTGTGTCTTATTTCAGCTTTAATACTGTGTTTTCCTGCCTTGCATGGTTTCTTCTACACTATGGCTCTGTAGTGTGTTTTAGAGCCCCATTTCTTTTGGGGGCTGTATAATGCTCCATTGCATGTCCACACATAGATCCTCACATGCTCCATTGCATATTTCAGCATACATGCACGGACCGGGACTGTCAGATGAGGTTCCTCCCTTTAGGAGCTTGTTTTTATCTGGGATGTAGCAGAGTCCTCCAAGCCACAGAGGGAAACATTACAGAGCTTTTTTAATAGTGGGGAAAGTATTTAACATTGCAAAATATATGAAAGCTGGTCACAGTGGCTCATCCCAACAGTCCTAGCACTTGGAAATCTGAGGCAGGAGGACTCTCAGGACTTTTTGCAACAAAGTGACTGTCTCAAAAGAAAAAAAAAAATAGATGGGGGACACAATTGTTGGTAAGTGTTTGCCACGTGAGCATGAGAAACAGGATTGAATCCCCAGCACCCACATACAAAAGTGGAACATGGCAGCCTGTACCTGTAATCCCAGTGCTGAGGAGGTAAAGACCGAGGACTAGCCTCTTTACATGCATGCTGGGAATTGAACCCAGGTCCTCTGGGAGTGTAGCCGGTGCTTTTTACCACTGATCCATCTCTGCGGCCCCTTTGAAGTTTTTTAAAATTAATTTTGTAAGTGTGTGATATGTGTGGGTGGGCACAGCATGTGTGTGGAGGTCAAAGGCTAACTTGCACTGTGGGCTCCAGGCACTGGATTTGTGTGGTAAAGCTTGCAAGGCAAATGCTTTTCACCCACTGAGCATCAGCAGCCTCTGCCATCTTTTTCCTCCTCCCTTCTTCCTCTATCCGACAGTATCATTTGTATCCCAGGCTAGTCTTGAGCTAGATAAGTAGCCAAGGATGACCTTCAGCAGCTAATCCTGTCCCTGTATCCCAAGTGTTAGTATTACAGATGAGTACTACCACAGTTGTTTTGTGGGTGCTGGGGATTGAACCCATGGCCTTGAGCACATTAGGCAAACACTGTACTATTTTAGCTACACTCCTCAGCCCAGTAGGTGCTTTCTGAAAGTAGACTAACTAGCCTTGATGGCTCTCTAAGACTCTGGTTTTATAACAGGCACACACGCACGCACGCACGCACGCACGCACACATCACCCTGCTGTCTGACTCAGCGTCTGAGACGAAGCACTCTTTTCCTTTGCTCTTTTGCAGGGCCCCCTCCCTTAGCTCCTCAGTGCTCAGTGGCGGTGTCTTCAGAATCGGCCACCCTAGAACTCACCTGTAATTGGGATGGGGGCTACCCTGATCCTACCTTCCTGTGGACTGAAGAACCTGGAGGGACAGTCGTGGGAAATTCAAAGCTGAAAACACTGAGCCCGTCACAGCTGTCTGAGGGCAAGAAGTTCAGATGCGTTGGGAGCCACATAGTGGGACCAGAGTTGGGAGCCAGCTGTGTGGTACAGATCTGTGAGTCGGGTTTGCTTTGTCCCAGGGTTGGGGTTCACTTGTCTGCCTTTCTTCTCAAAGAATCGTTTGATGATAGTTCTGTGAGAGAAACTCGGTGTCGGAGTGCCCAGAATCCCCCCCTGCCACCACACACACACACACACACACACGCACACCCCCACACGCACACACGCGCGCACGCACGCACGCACGCACGCACGCACGCACGCACGCACGCACATGCCATCTCTCCTTGTGCCTCAAAGTTTAGAGATGCGTGGCTCAGGCTCTGCATCATACCAAGCACTGACTGTGTGCCTGTGCCCTCCTTTGTAGTCACTTGGCACAGTGTGCAGGATGGATGGGATGCCTGTTTGTCTTCTTAATTATGTAATTGAGGGTTCTTCCCCACACCCCATCCCTACTTGGTGCTTTAAACAATACCGTTTGTGGCCTGAGGGTTTCTGGAAGGGTGCAGTTCTCTTGTCAAGAAACGTGATGGGTCAGGGTCTCTGCCGGAAGACTTGGGAATTGGGGTGCTAAAGTTGCGGAAAAGATACACTTCACAGGGGCTCATTCACGTGCCAGGCGAGCTGTCTCCCCATCCCCACATGGGACCACCCTCCGTGGGGCTGTCAGGGCATCCTCTCAATGTGGTGACCCACTTTCCTGAGAGCCAGTGATACAGGAGCGGTTGAGCCAGGCAGGAGTGACCCTTTGTAGGACCTAGCCTAGGGAGTTGCTTGGTCTGCCTTCTGTAACATTCTGTCTCTTAGCAGCAAGTCACTGCCTGAAGCCCATACTCAGGGGGAGTGAGGGACAGTTATCAAGCTCCTTTGTTCTTTTGTTTTGTTTTGTTTTGTGCTGGAGATGAAACCCTAGCTTTCACACATAGTAGGATGTCCTGTCCTCTCACTAACCCCCCTAGCCCAAGACCCTGTCTCTTGAGAGATTAAAAAGGAAACTAGGACTGAGGGCAGAGGAACCCTTGCTTAGCCTGCATGAGGCCATGGATTCTGTGCCCAGCACCTGTTACACCCCCAAAAAAGAGGAGCTTGCTAGATTGCCCTAGGTTGGTTTCACCCAGAGCTGTATTGGTGTTGCATGGAAAAACCTCACGACCCAGCAGCCTTCTCAGGCCTAGGAAAAGTGGGACAGTAGGTCACCCTGTGTCCTAGCCATATCTCTTATTTAACTTGTGTGACTAAGCAAGTCGTTTGGCTTTCTTTATGCCTCAGTTTCCTTCTCTACAGAATGGGAATAATCTTGAGGCTCTTATGAGACTGAGTTGGGCTTATTTGCATATAGCCCCTTGTGCATAGTAAATACCCAATAGATACTAGGCTTTATCTAGGGGGACCAGGCAAGGTGTGGGAATTATAAGCATTGGTTGTTTTTCTGGGAAAGGATAGGCCATGGCTTGAGTCTCCTGAAACATTTGCCTTTGTTTTTCTTCTTCTGACCCCCAGCAAGCCCCTTACTTGATTCTCAGCCAATGAAAACTTGCTTCATGGGAGGCAACGTGACGCTCACCTGCCAAGTGACAGGCGCCAACCCACCTGCCAGGATCCAGTGGCTGAGGAACATCACGCAGCCAGAGGCGGCCATCCAGCCCAGCAGCCACTATCAGATCACCCAGCACGGTCAGGGCTCTTCCCTCACCATCTACAACTGCTCCCAGGACCTGGACGAGGGCTTCTACTTCTGCCGGGCTGAGAACCTCGTGGGGGTGAGGGCAGTAGACATCTGGCTGAGCGTGAGAGGTGGGTGCTGAGGGTGGCCTCGAACAGTTAAGAGCATTGGAGTGCCTGGCACCATTGAGTGAGGAGGTCTCAGGGCCTCTCCACGTAGGCCATGGCTGGCTGAAGATGGCACATCCATTTGCCTGTGGCCTCACAAGGTGGCTGAGAAAATTAGTGTCTGATCCTGGAAGCACTGACATGTGCTTAGCATACAAAATGCTACTTCTCTTACTCATCAAAGAATATGTTCTAGAACATGATATATACATATGTATGCACACACACACACACACACACACACACACACACACACACACACACGGTAGCGCATATATATAGTGAAATTAATGAATTGTAACAGCAGAGTGAATTCATAGTTCTCTTCTATCCCGATTACAACATATATGGAACTCGTTGTGGGGGATAGGGCAAGTTCTAGAAATCATTATTTACAGTTTTTATAACTGAAGAAATAAAAGCCCTAGGTCCCATCTCCCTCACCTCATAAACTGGACATGGTAGCATCTGCCTGAAATCCCAGCACTCAGAAGGTGGAGGTAGAAGGATCAAAAGTTCAAGGTCATCTCAGCTACATAGAGAGTTTGGGCTATAGACCCTGTCTAAAAACAAGAAGGGAAGAATGGAGGGGAGAGGGGAGCAGGGAAGGTATGTTCCTTTGTACCAGAGCTGCTGTTCAAACATTTTTTTCAGAGCCCTTGGTATGAAGAGGTACAAAATACACAAACATTTACTGATGATAAATCATAAAGCAATTTTTGGGAAAACTTTCTTGGGATATACATACACTTTCACCATTCATTAAATAGGAAAGCAAACTAACCTGCTAACGAGATGAATGCACATGTCTCGGTTACTCAGAGAATTAATTTGTGGGTTGGTAAGATGGCTCAGTGAGTGGCTACCAGGTCTGAGTTTGTCCTCCGGGACCCACGGGGAGAAGGAGAGCTCCGACTCCTTCAAGTTGTCCTCGGACTTCTTTGCACATGCTGTGATGTGTGTGCACAAGCACATGTAAGCACACAAACAAAAAATGTAATCAAGATAATCAAATTTGGGATGAGTGTTTTAGACCGCAGGGCACAGGGCGCCTTCAGTGTTGTTCAGAGTTAATACTTTGATTTTATATTGTCATTGCTAGAGTGCTTGCAATTACCAGCGTCTGCCACCATGCCTGGCTTCTATAATTTCTTCTGAAGTTCTAATGTTCTCCCGACAGACTTGATTTGAGTTGGCGTTTGTAATTGGAACAAGTGTCTTTCCTCCCACCTTGCCTGGGTTTGACCCAGCTCCATAGGTCCTGGCTCCCTTTGTTGACTCTCAAGACAGTATCAGGCTGTTCTCCTGTTGGTTTTTCATGTGAGGCAGTGTCCTCATATGTAGCTCCGGCCAGCCTAGAACTTCCTCTGTAGACTAGGCTATACTTCAGCTTGGGATCCTCCTGCCTTAGGCCCGTCACCACACCCAGATGTCACCTTTCTCTCTGTGTGTGGCCAGTACCTAAATTCTCTGTCCTGGTGGGGCAGTGGTGGCACATGCCTCTGATCCCAGCACTCGGGAGGCAGAGGCAGGCAGATCTCTGTGAGTTTGAGGCCAGCCTGGTCTACAGAGTGAGTTCCAGGACAGCCAGAGCTACACAGAGAAACCCTGTCCCACAAAACAGAACAAAAGAAAACAAAAATCTCTGTCCTGGCCCATCCATCACCCTGTTTACTGTGGCACTAACTCCTACTCATTCTCACTGTGGCCTTGGAAACAGTTCCAATGTCTGGTCCACACAAAGCCCTTAATTTTGCAGTGTTCTTTCATGCTCCATGCTTCACCTGACTCCCTTAACTCTGTCTGCCTATGGTTGATTTGGGAGAGGTCACATGGACATGAAACCAAGACAAGGCAAGAGTAAATTAGAACTGAAGTTTTTGTAAAGGCATCGAGATGTGATCTCTTTACAGAACCTCTGAACATTGGGGGCATCGTGGGGACGGTGGTGAGCCTCCTCCTGCTGGGACTGGCCATTGTCGCAGGGCTCATGCTGTATTATAGCCCGGTGTTCTGCTGGAAAGGTAAGCGCCCCTGCTTCTCATTCAAGCTTAAGAAAGAAAGAAAGAAAGAAAGAAAGAAAGAAAGCAAGCTGTGGGTGGGACTGGAGAGATGGCTCAGCAGTTAAGAGCACTGCCTGCTCTTCCAGAGGACCAGGGTTTGATTCCCAGCACCCGTGTGGTAGTTCACAACTGTCTGAGACTTCAGTTCCAGGGGATCCAGTACTCTCTTTTGGTCTCCTTGGACACTGGGCAGGCATGTGGTGCACAGACATACATGCAGGCAAGACACTCCTACCCATAAAAATAAGTAAAAATTTAAAAAGCTGTGTGTAGAAGAAAACCCTATGCCCAGCTTCCACCTATGAATTCTTCATTGGAGCAGTGTGTGCAATAATGAGGCCCCCTACGTACCATCCCTAAGCATTTTGAATGAATGTTCATAGTTGTTCATCTTTTGTCCATGTTAGTTTTTTTTTAAATGCTTAATTATAGATTTATTATTTTCTCTCTGTGTGTATGTGTTGTATGCACAGGAATGTGTGGTGTAAGCACGCATGTGTACCCATGCAGAGGCCAGAGCAGGACCTTGGGTGGCTTCCTCTATCATTCTGCCTTACTGGCTTGAGGCAGGTCTCCTTGCACTAGATGCTCACTCCTTTGACTACTCTGGCTGGCCAGCAAGCTCCTAGGCTCCACCTGTGTCTCCCCAGCAATGTTGGGGGGTCTAGGTACATACAATCATGCTTTGTCTATTTCGGCATCTGCATTTGATCTTAGGTCCTCATGCTATTGAGTCATCTCCTCAGTCATTGCTGGTTTGATGAGACTGAAGTGATGTGCCTGATGCTTACTGTTTTCTTTCTCTCTTTCAGCAGGGAGCACTTTCAGGTGAGTGGTTTTGGGACTGTAATCCAAAGCCTGCTTCCATCATTCCTTATCACTGCTGTTTTCATTCCTTTCAGAAGAACAATAATAGTTACTCTGACCAGGCGGTGGTAGTGCACACCTTTAATAGGGGTACTCAGTAGGCAAAGGCAGGCAGATCACTGTGAGTTCGAGGCCAGCCTGGTTTACAGAACTAGTTACAGGACAGTTAGGGCTGTTACATACAGAAACCCTGTCTCAAACAAAACAAAACAAAATAATGATATGACAATAATAATAACAATATAATAATAATAGTTACTCTGATGGGACCAACCATGTCTCTGACCCTGGGCTAGGAACTTCCGGAGGCATTGTGGGAAACCCTCCATCTTGATGACATCCTTTGGTGTGTGCTTGTGTCTGTTTTGCTGATGAGAAAGTGGAGAGACCCAGTGGAGCAATTAGGTGACTCCAGGAAGCAAATGGTGGGGTCTGTCCCCCGACCCGAGTCTCATGGATTCCAGAGTCCCATGCTTTTTTCCAATGGGAACCTATAGGCTGGGCATGATGAGCCAAGTCACTCAGGCATTTGCTTTATTTCATTTTCTAAAAAGAGCAAAAGGAAGACGGAAACTTAGGCTCATAGAATGTGTTGAAAGACAAGTCTAAACATGTGTACAAGTCCCCACCCTCACATGAAAATTCAGTGAGGGAAAAGTAAACAAATGAAATTTGTATATTTCATTTCCCAAGGTGATCCTGGGCAGTAGAAAGAATTCTTCTTTATGGATTGTAGAAAGTATTTCCTTTTTTTCCTCATTCCTCATAAAGGAGTCTTATTGTTCTAGAACCATCTTTCGTGGGAAACCATTCCCTTTACCACTCTACTGTTGAGGGCCATTGTCCAGGCAAATTTGTCATTCCCAGGCTTATTCACAGGCAATGCCAAGGTGGCATTGTGGGAAGTAGCTTTGGAACCATGGCCCTGGGCCTCCGTGCTGTTCCCAAATTCTGTGTGTGAAGTATTCTGATCCTCTGAGGCTTCATCCACTCTGTTCATCTCACAGAGGGGAGTGAGGAGGGTGAATTGTGGATGCCGTGCTCCTGGGCTTGTGGTCAGTGGGTGAAATGCATCACTCCCTCTCTAAGAAGCTTGTAGCTGGGCAAGACAGGCTATGGCAGTGGTGAGCCAGATGCAGGTAGAGGGGAGAAGACCTTACCTGAGGATCAGGAGAGATCTCAGGAGTGAGACAGAAATAAGGGCCTTTTAGGAAAGAAATAGCTTTGTTTTTATTTTTACACCCCCCTGCCCCCGCCCCCCCCCTTTGGAGACAGGTTCATAGGCTGGCTTCAAACTCACTATGATAACCAAAGATGACTTTGAACTTTGGGTCCTCCTGTGTCCACCTCCCAAGTGCTAGAATTTCGGGCATACTCAGCACTCCAGCCACTGAGCTACACCCCCGGCACAGAATGCGGCACTGAATATTTTCAGTGTTGAGAAATCCAGTGCTAGATGCTTGAGACAACACGGTAGGGACAGCATATAAACAAATGTCCTACAGAAGACATGGTCACCATCTTTAGCCATCTGTAGCTACATCTTTCCTTACTATCATGGCTAAGCCATACTGACTGCAGGAGGAATAGTCTTAAAGGGATTACAAGGAGTCTGGTGGTGTCTGTCCACTGGGGCTCAAGTTGGAATAGATGACATCCTGATTATTATTATTATTTTTCCTTTGGAAATTAGGGGACAGGACATGGGTGACATCATGGTTTTGGTGGATTCTGAAGGGGAAGACGAGGAGGAGGAGGAGAAGGAGGACAAGGAAGATGTTGAAGAGGCAGAGCAGGAGACGTATGAGAGAGAGGAGTTGCCGAAAGAGATACATAAGCATGGACACATACACAGAGTGACCGCGCTGGTCAATGGGAACTTGGACCACATGGGGAATGGACTCCAGGAGCTGCATGGTAAGCTTGCCTGCCTTCGAGATACTCAGATCCATGTGATGAGCTCCCAGGGAGGTGTTTCCAAGGAGTAGGGAAGCCTAAAGCCTAAGGAAGTTAGCTAGCTCAAGTTTAGTTCTAGAACCCAAAACTCCATGCTAGGTTAAAAAACAAAATGTGAAACACTTAAGTGTCAGTCAGTGCCCTAAACCTGATGCTTCTATGTATTTGAACTTTGTTTCATGAATGAGATTATTTAAAATATTGTGTAAGATGGGGCTGGCATTGTATACAAAGATGGCTAAATGGACAAAGGTTCTTGCTGTCAAGACTGTGAGTTCAGACTCTGGTGGAAAGAGTGGATTTACTTCCCAAAGATGTGCTCTCACCTCCACCCACCCCCACTAATTAAATAAACATTAATACTAATACTTTTTTGCAATGACCTATTTAAGGAAACTATAAAATAAACTTAAAGTTCATGTTTAGACTTGGGTCCCACCCCATAGTTTCTTATTCTGGACATACAAATTACCCACAGTCTGAAGTCTATATCACTTCTGGTCCCAAGCATTTCCGGCAAGATAATCAACAGGTATTAACTACCAGTGCAGAGAGGAGATCATTCAGCAAGGATGTGTGTGTGTGTGTGTGGGGGGGGAACGACACAGTACGGGGATTATTGAAGAGGAAAAGAAGCACTTGTATTGTCTGTGAGTGGGCAGCTTGCTAAGAGAAGCAGGTGAAATGCGTGAAAATGTGTGTGTGTTGGGGGGAATTAATATGGAAGTAACATTTATCCAGTGCTGAGAGAGCCCAAGGAGAACTGTGTGTAGCCGGGCAGTGGTGGCGCCCGCCTTTAATCCCAGCACTCGGGAGGCAGAGGCAGGCAGATCTCTGTGAGTTCAAGGCAGCCTGGTCTACAGATTGAGTTCCAGGACAGCCAGGGCTACATAGTGAGACCCTGTCTAAAAAAACAAACAAAAATCTTGAAACCATGAAAGAAAACGAGAGCTGGGAGGGGTACTTCGATCAGGGTCAGCTCTGTGGAAGAGGTGGCTCTGAGACAGGTGTAGAGGGGCAGTTGAGTTTGAATGCAAGTAGAGTGGAGAGAGCATTTCTGCTTGGGAGTATTATAAGTGACAAGTATCAGGAATGTCTAGATTCTGGATTCAGAAAACAGGTGACTTCTGAGTGTGGTGGTGCAAGCCAGCACTTGGGAAGTGGAGGCAGGAGGATCAAAAGTTGAATTATCCATGGCTACATAGTGAGTTTGGGGCCAGCCTGGGCTACATGAGATCCTGTCTCAAACAAAACAGAAAAAAGGAGATTGTTATACACCCTGCACTACTTCCATGAAATCCAATTCTTCAGCTCACAAGTCAACAAGATGACAGGAGACAGACGGTAAAAACCTATCCTGCTGTTGAAATCATTTAGTTCCATTTCTCTTACCCCTGAACAGATGACAGTGATGACCAGCAAAGTGATGTTGTTGAAGAGGAAGACAAGCCAGTTTGATGAAGACAGTGCACTGTCAACGGGTTTTTGCAAGTGCATTCTGTTTTGACTGTCCTCGCACTGCTGCCCTGCCCAGGAACTTAGTCACAGCTGGGGTCTCCCAGCACAGGCAGTCATCTCTCCTCCCATCTCCATTTGGTGCGAGGTACCCTTGGCGGTGTGAAACGCAGGTGCAAGGCAAAGCTACAGTGGTGTCTGAGGTGCCTCTTTGCTGTGACACCTGGCTCTTCCCGGGTTGATTTACTGTGACACTGACTTTTTTCCTAGGGGAGAGGGCACTCACTTGATATCTGTGCACTGTGCCACTATTCAAGGTTTGCAACCAGCTTGCCCAACATAAAGGGGCGTGGAGGCGGGGCTTTTTATCAATGTTGAGGTAAGGAACCAGGCCCCTTCCAGGGAGAGGTGAGGTAGTTTGGTTGGACTGGGGAAGTCAGACATTGAGGCTTCTTTCTTGTTGCTTTGCCTCTGTTTCCCCATCTAGAATAAGCATGAAACAGCACCACTTTCCAAGCTCCTGAGAAACGAAGGAGGTAGTTTAGGGTATAAAGGTGTCTACAAGGGTGCTCGATAGAGCTGCTGTAGGGGCCTTCTTTGTAGACCGAATCTACTCTGCCCACCCCAACAATTCTCTTTTACCATAGAGATGGACATACCTTTCCTTATTGCTTCATGGTTTACAGACCTGTGTGTGGTTATAATAGTCTCCTAAATGATGGACCTAAGGCCAGCTTCTGGCTCCTAAAGGTCAGCTTCTGGCTTCTCTTTCCTCGTGACTCCTGTGCTGCCCAAGAGGGAAAGGGAAACATTTCTAGCAGATTACTTGGCATGAACTGGACAGACAGTTCACTTGGCCTCAGTTTCTGTGTCTTAGAAATGGGAGTATGTGTTTTCTTCCTACTTAGTGGATGTGTTGATCAAAGACAATAAGTTTCAAACGAAAATAGTGGGTGATGAGTTTAACTTGGAACAGCTAAGTTCTGGGGATTTTTTTTTTTTTTAATTTCATCTAATTATTCTGAAGTCAGGGATCTTCTAAGGGTGCAATAGGTGTGTGCTAGCCATGAAAATCTGACTTGGAATTTGCACTCTCTGCTCAGACAGGACAAGGTCCAGGACTCTAAGGGGATGGCTGTTCTCTTTGAATGCAGGAGCTGAACCCAAGAAACAACTGCCAATACAGCCCCTTCTGAGCTCCAGGAAGTTCAGGTGGCTGTGAATTTGAGCCCTTGGGAATAGCAGTGAAGTAGTTCTCTAGCTTCGTGGTACCTCATACACTGGATCACTCCAGTCTCTGTTATTTCACGGTGGGATACTCAGGTTGCCTTCAGTCCTGGGAGCTGGCCTCTCCTTTGAGGCCTGATGACAGAGTTCCTGAGTTATCTGTGACTCAGGGGCCACTTTAACAGAGGAGAGGAGAAGCTAGGTAGAGGGGAAGTCACAGCTGGGAACATGGTGAATGTTTTGAGATCACTGGGTGCTTCCCACAGCTTTCTCTTCTGCACACACCTGGCAGTAGGAAATATTTGAGGGTTTTTCTACTAGCAGACAGGAGCTCCCAGGGCTTGATGCCAAATGCTGTTCTGACCAGTTATCATTGTCACTTTTATCAGCCTGTATGCACATTTGCAGATCAGTTAAGAGCCCAGGCACTAAAGGGCTTCATATTGGATTTGTGAAAAATTGGAGCCCTCATCCCCTTTGTTCACTTAACACAATTCATACCCAGATCTCATGGCATATGGAGGATGGGCTACAGACTTTGTATGGGAAGTCCAAAATCTTATCCGCATGTATCAGTTAACTGATCCACTTGTAAGAACCAGGAGGAAAAACACTTCAGGGTTGTTTTCATCACATTGATTTCCCTCAAAACCCAGTGGATATGGGAAAGGGGCTCTGCAACCCTATGCTTTGGCACTAGCTCCATTTCTCACAACTGTAGAAGCACACAAGTGTCATCCTCAAGGGGTACAGCTTTGTACTTTTAGTGCCAATTCAATTTCTCAGCACAGGACTGGTGGCCAGCTACTACAAAGAGACCGACTTTACGATTTGATAGGGGAAATTTAGGAGAAATTAGTTATGAAGTTATGAATTTTTAAAGACTTTGGAATAAAAGTTATTTTTTAAACATATACTTCAGTGATCTTGATTTATTTCTTTTTGATCTTTTGAGACAGGGCATCTTTGTGTAGCTTTTGGAGTCTGTCCTGGAACTTGCTTTGTAGACCAGACTGGCCTTGGATTCATATAGATCCACCTGCTTCTAGCTCCCAAGTGCTGGGATTAAAGGCTTGCAACATCAACACCCAGCAGTGATCTTGATTTATACCTGATGAGTAAATGTAAAGAATTGTACCTGGCTGGGCAGTGGTGGCACACGCCTTTAATCCCAGCACTCAAGAGGCAGAGGCAGGCGGATCTCTGTGAGTTTGAGACCAGCCTGGTCTACAAGAGCTAGTTCCAGGACAGTCTCCAAAGCCAGAGAAACCCTGTCTCAAAAACAACAACAACAACAAAAGAGTTGTACCTGTAATCCCTGCACTCAGGAAGCTGAGACAGGACTGCTATGAGCTTGGGTCCAGCCTAGGCTACAAAATGAGACCTTGTCTCAAAAATCAACCAAGGCTAGAAAGATAGGTCTCAACCCATAAAGCATGACAGACCTATGTTCAATCTTAGGAGAGAACCTATTCCCCAAAGTTGTTCTGACGTCCTCATGCACCCCATGGGATTTCTCACACACACACAAGTAAGTGGATTTAAAAAAAAAAAAGAGAGAGAGAGAACCAAGTAACAAAAATGACTGGAGCAGAGCCAGAGAAAGTTGGGTTTATTTTTGTCATTCTTACCACTTTATCTTCCATGACTTGTCCACAGTGAATGCTGAGTATAAAAAGAGGTGTAGCTCACTGAGACTGTTTACATGGGGAAGGTCCTGGGCTCAGTCTCCAGCACGTCAAAACAGAAACAGTTACAACAACAAAACATTAAAAACAAGAACCTGAAGAAACCAGGAAATGAACATTTGAGAAAGAATAGAGAGGGTCCGGGAGAGATGGCTTAGTAACTGAAAGCAGCTGCTGCTCTGTGAGAGGATCTGGGTTCAATTCCCAGCGCCCACATGACCGCTCACAGCTATTGATCAGTTCTAGGGGATCCTCTTCTAGTCTCCTTGGACACCAGGCACGCATGTGCAGACACATGCAGGTAAAACACCAAACACAATAAAAACAAACACCAATTAGAGACAGTACATTTGGCCTCCACAAGGATGTATTCTCACACACATGAACACTGAAAAGGAAACGGTAGAGGTGGGGGAAACAAGGCAGGTTAGAAGTGGGTTGAGTATGGAAAAATGAGTCTGGAGAATAGAACTGGGATCTAAGGAGATCGGGTAGGACATCAGAGATAAAAAATGAGGATGAGAAAGCGACAGTAGAGTAGAAAACAAAGTGGATGTGTGGGGGGCGGTGGTGGTCCTCGGACAGACAACTGGTGAACGGTGGGTATAACCCAGAAGACCTGAGGAGAAACGGACCATAGATAGTGCGCCTGGACTAAAAAATTAAGTGGGAGAGAAGCATACAACGGCAGAAGGCAAAGGCAAGGTTCCAGATTCAATGCATGGAAGAGCAATTACCAAACCCATCATTTCATTTCTCCTTTTGCCGGCTCCACATGAAGGAAAGAACCGTGTGATTCAAAGGGGAAGGAAACAGGGAGATTGCACTTTGAGAAAAGTCCAGGCTGGGGACAGGAAAAGGGACTTGAATGACTTGGAGGGTGGGTGGGGCGGTGACAGGGTACTACCGGGGATTACAATTAGAGTCCCTAAGAAAACCCAAGGCCAGTTAAGTACAGAAACCAAAGCAATCCCTTTTTCTCCCTTTCCCACCCTTGTCCTGGCTCCAAGTCGAATCGACTGATCAGAAGTGGGCTAGGACCCTAGGGTGTCAGGACATGCAGAGAACTTCTCAGGGGCTTCGGAAAGATGGGGGGTGCCTCGCTGACAGTGGGGCTCAGCCTTGACTCTAACCTCATGCCTTTAGACACCCCCCCCCCGCCCCAAGCAAGGCACAACAGCATCCCTCCCCCTGGGGGATGCTGCCAAGATGGACTTTCCACCCCCACTATGATCCCCCTGCTCCTTGATCCTATAGTCAACACTCAGCATCAGGGAAGCGACAGCTTCCCTGAGCCCCGGGCTTTCCCTAGGCCTCTTCCATTCATGCCCACCCCGCTATCCGCATCTTTATCCGAGGGTATTCTGGGTTTTCACTTTAGATCCTGTCAGAGCCCCCCACCCTCCTCCTCAGTCAGGCCTCGGATTTTAGTCCGATAAATTTCCACATTGGACAAGGTTCTAAACCCTTTCCTGTTGGTTCCCCGGGTCCCCTCCATCAGCCTAGGGTAACAGTT